CATTACAGGGTAAAAATGACTAACAGAAATGTTACCGTCAGTAATCCTTCAGAATGGTGACTTTGGTTAGCAGAAAGGATGTACTAGTATTCACAAAGAAAGAACACATTTGACCAATCCAATGAAAGCCAAGCCCTTAATCTAAACAAACTGTGACCCAGTGATATGCAATGAATTTTAGCTATTTCTGCACCATGACTGTCACCTGCTGCCAAGATTCCCTACCATGATGAATTCTTATTGCTCTAAAACCCACAAACAAAAAACCCTCCTCTTTTCTATAAATTGCTTTAGCCATGGTGTGGAGCTTAATGAAAGAAATGGCCATCTCTGTGCTACAGGACAGGCCCACACACAACCTGGGGATCCTGAAGCTTTCCAATATAGCTTTTACACATAACCCTAATGGTACCCTGAGAGTCCAGGAAGAAGTCCACAGTGAAGCAAAACTGTGCTTAAAAGTATTCTATCTGGGAAGTATGGAATAAATTCACACATGTGCTGTTCGAGTCATAGTCTTTACTCTTCTGCCTATTTTTCTGTCCTCTAATTTTCTTCTAAGTTCTAATTCTTTCCAGTTCTCCTTTGTTCCAATTCTCCTTTATCTGTTTAGCTCTTTAAATACATTTTTTTACAGGAGGCTTAAGACAAAAAGAAAAAAGTTACAATGATCTCACTGGTCATAGCATATTCCTTGGTAAATGATAAGGATCTGAGCCATTTACCATGGCAATGAATACAAGAGGACATGGTACTTGGCACCTTCCCAGACAGTGGTATTGAAAACATCCCAACCCGAAAAGATATTCACTAACCCCACATCAGACAGAGGGCTGATCTCCAAAATTTACAAAGAACTCAACAAGCTAGTCTCCAAAACACCAAATAATACAATTAAAAAGTGGGGCATGAAACTAAATAGAGAATTTTTTTTTATGAGACAGGGTTTCTCTGTATTGTTTTGGAGGCTATCGGTCCAGCCCGGCCTCCAACTCACAGAGATCCACCTGCCTCTGCCTCCTGAGTGCTTGGATTAAAGGCATGTGCCACCACCACCCGGCTTAAATAGAGAATTCTTAATAGAGGAGTCTAAAATGGCTGAGAGACACTTAAGAAAGTGTTCAACATCCTTAACCATCATGAAATGCAAATCAAAACAACTCTGAGATACCATCTCACTCCTGTTAGAATGGCTAAAATCAAAAACACCAATGACAGTTTACGCTGGAGAGGATGTGGAGAGAGGGGATCACTCCTCCACTGCTGATAGGATGCCAAATCATTACAGCCATTTTGAAAATCAGTATGGAGATTTCTCAGGAAAAAGAGAATCAGTCTCCCACAAGATCCACCAATTCCACTGTTAGTACATCCAAAAGATGTACATTCATACAACATGGGCATCTGTTAGACTATGTTCACAGCAGCATTATTTGTAATAGCCCGAACCTGGAGGCAACCTAGATGCCCCTCAACTGAAGAGTAGATAGAGAAAATGTGGTACGTTTACATAATGGAGTACTATTCAGTGGAAAAAACAATAGAATCTTGAAATCTGCAGGCAAATGGATGGCACTCCAAGAAACCATACTGAGTAAGGTAACCCAGTCACAAAAAGACAAACATGGTATGTACTCACTCATATATGGATTTTAGACATGGACCAGGGAAGTGCCAGCCTACAATCCCACTACCAGTCTGGGAAACAGAACCTTCATCCAGTGACTAATGGAAACAGAGGCAGACACCCACAGCTAAACACTGAACTGAACTCCTGGAATCCAATGACAGAGAGGGAGGACTGATGAGCAAGGGAGTCAAGACTGGGCTGGTTTAACCCACAGAAACAGCTGACCTGAACAAGGGGGAGCTCCTGGACCCCAGACTGATGGCTGGGAGGCCAACATGGGACTGATCCAGACCCCCTGAATGTGGGTGTCAGTGAGGAGGCCAAGGCAATTCATAGGGCCTTGGGTAGTAGATCAGTATTTATCCCTGGCATATAAATGGACTTTGGATACCCATCCGACAATGAGGGATGCTCTCTCAGCCTGGACTCTTGGGGGAGGGCCTAGGCCATGCCATGAATGAAATGACAGACTCTGGAGATTTCCCATGGAGGGCCTCACCCTCCCTGGGGAACGGAGTGAGGATTGGGTGGGGAGCTGGAGAGCCTGGTGGGGAGGGCAGGGGAGAAGGGGAAGGAGAGGGAGCTGGGATTGACATGTGAAGCATGCTTGCTTCTAATTTAAATTTAAAAAAATCTGTTTGGGGGAAAAAAAAGAAAAAGAAAACATCCCAACCTCAAAAATATATTCTCTTATCTTGTTTGTAACCCCACAACACAGAGGTGTTGGGGGAGGGTGGCTTGTAACTCTAGCTGCAAGGCTAGAGTATCCTTTGTTGTCCTGGCTAACTGTGAAACTTTACCCACATAGAACTAATTTTCTTTGGACTTAGTTAATCAATTAATAGTTATTTGGGACCTAAACAATAAACAGTGAGTTAGTTGAAGCTTGAGTTGTATATCATAAACTGAGGTTAGAAATTTGCATAGAGTTTTAATTGCTAAAAGTTTAGTAGGGAATGCTGCCGGTCCCCCATCAGTTGAATCTGGCAGGGGAAATTGGCAAGCAATTCAGTTCACTTTTGTCTCTGAAGGACTTTGATTCAACAACCCAGACACTTTGTAATTCTGCCCGAGTATAATCCATGAGTCCAACTAGTTATCTATCCACAAAGATATACACTATGTCAGCTTAGCTAATTATAGAGAACAGGCATCTAAGTGTCTTACAGTTCATGTGGAATAATGGATCTAGGATTTTTTCTACATATCAAAATTATACAGCTTGATGAAAAGTCATCTTCCTGACTATCCATGGATACATGTGCCCATAAGATCGAGATGCAATCATGAGATTATATATACACATCACATGAGATTACAACTACAGTGCAGGTAATGGGGAAACACCATAGCTACTTTTGTACATATGAAACTACAGACAGGAGCAATAGTTTCCAGAATCGGTCATTCTGCAGGCTCTGCCTGGACAGGATTCTCCTCCAGAGAATCACTCCTCTGGTGGGTTGGCATCTGAATATAGTTATCACCTGCTGTATACTTCCACCGCCCTCAACATAATCCTCACATTTTTTAAAATAGTTCACTAAACTAAACAATCCCACACATCTGACTCAGAAGTGAGAAAGTAAACTGTTGGAGAGTTTAAAGTCTCTGAAACGGCTATTCACCAGTAATGTTAAGACTACTATTGAGAATCTTTAAATAACAATTATTTATCTCCCTGAATCAAGAGACTTTAATAATCAATGTTCAACTGATCTGTCTAGGTTCACCGTCCATGTCCTTTCCATAACACAGGTGGAATTTAGAAATAAGCAAAACTCTATCATCTAGTAAGAAAGACAACTAACTCCATCATCAAAACTAATTATCTGTTACTGATCAAAATATAGTCATGAGAAGTTACTAAATGCACAAAAATAAAAGTTACCAAGTCCACCAACAGCCTTAATCTATTATTTATCAAACTAAAATTAATATGAAATAATGAACCTACACAATGAGACTGTTCATCACTGCACCAACACTTTATAATATCTTCTATTCCTCAAATAATGAAATACCAAGATTTATTTTCTGGGGCAATGGCTCAACAGTTAAGAGAACTTGTTCTTCCTGAGGACCCAGATTCAATTCCCACCATCCACATCAGCTTACAATTGTCTGTGACTCCACTTCTGGGAGATTCAATTCCCTCTTCTGCCCTCCATGGGCCCCAGGCACACACATAATGCACTTGCATGCATGCAGGCAAAGCACTCATACATATAAAACAAAAGAAGGGAGAGAGGGAGAGGAGGGAGAGACGGAGGGAGGGAGGGAGGGAGGGAGGGAGGGAGGGAGGGAGGGAGGGAGGGAGGGAGGGATGATGGATTATTCTCTAAATGGAAATAATGGAACACCATGGGCAAAAGGAAAAATCAAAAATGGAAACTTGGTTTACTGAAAAATTACCCATAAGCAACATCTTGGTTCAAGATGAGCAGGGAGTTTCAGGGATGCGGATTTCTTGGGTGGACTTTTCAGTGACACAGCTGCCCTTGAGTCCTCTGTGCTCCTATAACCCCAAATATACTCATAGGTTCTCTAAGCGATACTTGGAGTGAATCTCCTTAGGTTTTTAGATGTCTTCCCTATCTGTGGTAAACATATACTTGTCATGTCTTCCCAAGAAAAGTAACACAAAAGTTCCTGAAGTAAATAAAATATATGAAAAATAAATAGCCAACTCAAACTTTCCATATGAAAAACCCAAAGCCATACATTTTTACATTGAACAACTAGAGGTTATAGGTGCCAACTTTATGCAACAGAAAATTTGTAAATAACCTCAGACTTCCCACAACACCAAGAGAAGGTGGCTATTAATTTACAGAAGTACAGTATGTACCACAGCTAATATTATGTGGCCATATTGCATCTTTAAATTTCTCTCCATTGTGAATGGCACTGATACATGTTAACTTAGCAGCTGTATATATACTTTAAAGTACTGAATGGCAAGACTATAATCCATACATAATTATGTATTTTTGTTCATTTTAAAGTATTTTATGCTGCAGGACTCCTCTGAATTAAAAAAATTGTTACAAATATCCACACACAAAAATCAATCTGCCTGTCAGTGGACCAAAGCAATCCAAATCTGTGTTTTCAATAATCAAATGTATACTGTTCCAGGCACAAACACTGACTATCTTGGAATTTTCTCAAAATGGTCCCCTAACACTGGAACCCAGACAAAACATATTTTAACAAATATGTGATGCATGCACAAGTACAAAATCCATCTTATACCTTTCAGAGAGACTGAGCTCATTAAGTCCCTCAAAATAATATGCTTATTTTAAAAGGAGAAAATTCCCATTGTTAACAATAGTATTTCATAATAATACAATTGTTTCAGGGTTCAGTTATTTTATTTTATTACAATCTTTTTTCCCCAAAACAACTAAGTTGAAAGTGATTTAACTGTCAAAGCCAAAAAAACAACACAAATATTTCTCCAATTGTTTAATATTTTACGAAGGAAGTGCGAACAAAATCAGCACCCTACATAATTCACAGGGGTGCAGGCTTTTAATTCAAGTAACTCAGAGTTTCAGTTCCGCAAAGATCTTAATTGAATTAAGATTTCTTTGAAAAAAGACAGTTAGGACCGCTTGAATATTTATGAAGCAGGAATAAAATACTGAAGAGAGATATCATCATGAACCAAAACAAGATGAAGCAGAGTATTGCTCAAAATATTGCATAAGGCCAGTGTGGGGTTTATCTGCTGCTGTCCTTCGAAAAACAGCAGAAGCTTCCTGTTGTCCACACTCACTTGTGCCATGTTCTCTGGGTCTTCGCCTTGAGGCACACCCGGAACGGCGTTTGGAGGGTTTCTGAGATTTTTAAAGTAGCTCTTGATAGTCACCACATCAGTTTCTACGCTCAGGCTCATCTTGCCGTTTAGATTCGCTTCCACCAGCACACGGTCGTCCACAGTTGCCATCCGCTCCACCATGTTCTTCAGGGTCCTCAGAGCTGGCAGATGAACACTGACATCAGAGGCCGGAACCCAGGGCTCTGCACACTCTTTCCACCACCTTCTGGGAAGTACTTTCACAGGCAAGTCGTGGACCATCGCACGACTGTGGCCGGGGCACGACGCCAGCTCCACAACCACAGTGAGGCAGGGACGCTGCTTGTTGGTGAGCTGGAGCTTCAGGGCTGAGGCGTTGCCCGCATTCCTCACGGCTCTGGCCAGATGCTCAGACTTCAGCTCTAGATAGATCTCGTTGAATTCCTCCGAAACACCCTCCATGCAGAAATGGCGGAAGACTCCCCGCTTCACCTCACCCCACAACTGGGCCTCGCCCAGCAGCCCAGCGGGGCAGAAGCACAGCCTGTCAGGACACACACGGAGCACACAGACCTTCGCCAGCCTTGCTACAGTGCCGCTGACCTGGATGAAGAGCTCTAGAATACTCTTGCTGGTGATCTTGGCCCGAAATTTCATGGTGCCCGGCTGGTAGGGGGAGTGTTGTAAGGAGAAAACTGACAGAAGCTCCAGCTGGCTCACCCTTCCGGTCTGGAGTGCAGTCCCCTTAGCCTTCCGGCCTGGGGTATAGCTGGCTTACCTACCCAGTCTGGAGTGCACCCTGCCGCCCCTCCCTCCAGCCCCAGCACCGCCTACAGTTTGGTTCCACCTGAGTGCAGGTGGATGGCCTCTGGACGCATTCTTACCTTTCCACTTGCCTGTCCTATGTGAATGCTTTACTGCTACTGGTAATCTCATAAGAAGGACACTCTACACAGTGTGACCGCAATTAAAAATTGAGATAACCAGCCCTTTTAAAACATTTTGGTACATATATATACCAAATATATATAGTCTTGTTCAACCCGGATGTTACTTGCCAATGCCACTACGTATGTCACACAATGTGGTAAATTAAACATACACTTTACAACCTGACATTTGTACCTAAAATACATATATAATGGATATCATTCCATACCATTAAACAATAACAAGTCTATATCATTTTCGTGGCTACTTGGTTTTCTATTATATTGATAAAAAAATTATTCCACAAGAGGAGCTCACATGATTCAATTTTGACCTATTAATAGGGTAACAATGAATATACATTATACAAAATATTTTTGCTTTTGTCAATATTTACTTGCAACCAGGTGGTGGTAGTACACGCCTTTAATTCCAGCACTAGGGAGGCAGAGGCAGGCGGATCTCTGTGAGTTTGAGGCCTGCCTGGTCTACAAAGTGAATTCCAGGGCAGCCAGGGCTGTTACACAGAGAAACCCTGTCTCAAACAATAAATAAATAAAGAAAATAAATAAAGAAAAGAAAAGAAAAAATTTACTTGCATTAAATTTAAAGGGAAACTCCTGGTCATAGCATATACACATAAAACTCTTCTATATTACCAAACTGTCACAGAGAAACTTCTATCAGCGTACCTTCCCATCAGCACCACCACATAGCAATCTATTTTGCATGTAGCAATGTGATGGGTAGAATAACATAGCTTCAACTTGCAAGGTATGTATGTCAATCTTACTTTCATAACTTTTTATGGAGTTTGTTGCTTGACTTTTAAGATCTCTGGTAAGGTCTGGCTGGTGACACATGCCAATAATTCTAACACTGGGAGCCAGAGGCAGGGAGGATCACAGGTTTAAGGAAAGCTAGGGTTACATTCCAAGGCCAGTCTAAGCTATATAGTGAGATTTCATTTCAAATAAATAAATGAATAACAAAAGAATAAAATCTCTGGCAAGAACATTAACCCTCTGTCCCTGTAAACACTGCCTAGATTAGTCTTTGGCTGTCATGTTGTTTATGGTGCTCTTTGTACTTAAAAAAAAAATTAGATACTTGTATGTTAAATGTATTTGTCTTTTCTCTGTTGCTCCTAGAGTCCTGAACCATGTGAAATTCAGAGTGTGCAGCAAGCTTCTATATTCATTCTATTACAGCAGAATGTTTGTTTAGCCCCTCTTTTCAACTAGGCAGGGATTCCATAGTAACGGAGCAGCCCTCTAAGGTCTCTTGGAGCCCACAATCTTCGTCAACTTACTTTTGGCCAAAAATGAGTCCTGAATCTCATCCCAATCTTTGCAAATAGACAGCAGCATCTCGGCTAGGGAGTTATAGCAATCAGTAGCTCTATATAAACTTTCAGTTCCTCTTTGTCTCATAGTTACTGTTCTACTGCTGCAAAGAGACTAAGACCAAGGCAGCTCTTTTAAAAGAAAATGTTTAATTGGGGGCTTGCTAACAGTTTAAGAGTTAGTCCCTTTATCTCATGGTGGGAAGCATAGAGACATGGCATTAGATCCACAGGCAGCAGAAGCAGCAGCAAAGAGATCAGCCCTGGCATGGGTTTTTCAAACCTCAAAGCCTGCCAGCAACAACACACCTCCTAATCCTCCCAGTACATCAACTAAAAACTAAGAACATATACATAAACCTATGGGGGCCGATCTCATTCAAACCATATATCACTCTTTATGGCCTCCATTTGTCCATGGGTACCCTCAGGATTTCCTCTAACATGCTCATCTTTCTGATAATCAGATTATTGAGGGTCAGATATTTCAGGTGTCCATGCATCACAGACACAAGGGAATGTATGCTTTTGGTACTTGCACTATGTTCTAGCCATTAAGAGGCAGGGACCCAGTGACCACCATATACAGGATGACGCCAAGACTTGCTGTATCTACCACAAAGCCCTTGTACTATTTTTCGCACTAGAAGGGTACCATAGTATATGGTACCTAGCTTGCTTCTAGAACTGAACACATTGCAGACCCCAAAGTCCATGAGATGGATGTTCAGGCAAGCATCTACTATAGTTTGGATTTAAAGTGTTCCACAAAAGTCAATGCTTGATGTCCCGGGTGGTGCTACTAGGAAGTGTAGTGGACCTTTAGAAAGTGAGGCCTAGCCCTCAGGCCATTGGGGCATGCACCCAACAAGAACGTGGTCTTTGTTCTATTTCTTTCTGTTCCCTGGAACATGAGAGAATCGGTGTTGCTCCTCCATGCGTGACTGCCATGATGTTCTGCCTGACCTCAAAACTTCAAGAATATGAACCAAAATAACCCTTTTCTCTTTGTAATTGTCTCAGGTACGTTATTATAGTGACAGGAAGCTGACCTACACAGATGAAAGGGCAGGTTGTTGGTATGGAAAGGAATTTTTAAATGGGATGAAATTTTAGGATGGGATGGAACAAAATGATGAAATAGAATGGGATGATAGAGAATGCTGGGATAGAGTGGGATGTAGGGATGGAATGGAATTTAGATAGGATAGGATACAATAGGATAGGATGGGATGGAAAAGAAAGGGATGAGCTGCAACACTGGGATAAAATGGGATAGGATGAGATGAGATGGAACAGGATGGGGTAGGATGTAATATCTATTTACATTACTTATCTGTTATTATATCAGGTACAATTTCTACTAGAGCCTTTGACATACAATTGTAGTTGTAAGCTGCTAATTCTCACATCTTTGTCATAACTAAGCATGGTTGTAATGCTTGTTTTTTTCTCCAAATTGCTGCACATGGTATGCTAGTTAACCCAGTGCTAAGCAACCATGGAGAAGGGGCTGCTATGCTGGCAGAGGTAAACCTCTGTATCTACCTATTTGTCTCTCTATATGTGGTAAGTACAAGAAGGCGATATGTTAGGGACTTTCATATTAATTTTTTTAATCTAAAGTTTTTCCTTACTGGAGGAACACACGTTTTTCCTTACTGGAGGAACACACTGGAGTTATCTCCAAGGATTTTGCACTCTAGACCAGAAACTGAAAAGTATTTTTATAATATTTATATTACTAAACTTCAAGAATAGCCTTAACAATACACTCAAACTTTAGTATATAAGGGCAACCTAAAACTTAAAGGTATTTTAATGGAATGTGTATGTACTGAATTAAAGGTAAAAAACAGAAATATATGTGTTAATTTTTAAAATTCATATTTACCAAAGAAAGATTAACAGGAAGAAATATCATACAACTGGATGCATTGTTGAACTGTATGTATTTTTACTGGTAAGTTTCCTTTTAAAGCAAGGCTCTGACCAATGTAGTAAGCAAGCTATAAACTGAAGCAGTATATTGTAATATTTTCAGCTATTTGAAAATTAAAGATGAGATATGATGGTGTGACACGGAACCTCCTGCAGGTCTAGTGGCTGGTGGGAAGCTTAGTGCTCGTGGAGAGACTGGAATGTTGCAGGCCCAGAGCCTAACTACAAGTTATCACAGGTTACCTTCAGCCTCCTCAGTAGCCATTGCTCGCTGATTGAACATCCTTGTAACTAACACGCAAAACTTTTGTGAATCTATTCACACAACAGACCACTAATTTCTACCAACCAAAAGGCAAATGTCTTCAGATAGTCTGAGGCCAGAAACAGACTTCCTTGCTTTGATTCAATCCTCATACCTAATGTTTCCAACAATGTATTTAAAAGGTGCCTACTCATGACTTTGTTCTTTCACTATGAAACTATAACACACATGTAAGTTCTTAGGACATGATCACTCAACATTTGGCTCCAGAATAATCTATCTCTTACTCTCTTTGAGGTGAGAGTTGTGTTTTGCTTTTATAATAACTAGAATTTAGATCATGATTCCTTGGAAGAGTTCACAAAATACTCTGAAAAATATTTTAAATCATCTTGCATAATATTTAAACCGTGAACAGATTCCTAAAGAGTCTAGCCCAAAGTGAAAAGAAAGTCTGCAAAATACAGACTCCACAGGTGTGTAGGAGCAGCAAGTAGCTGCAAGGCAGGCTCATGCTCCCTTGGCTAAGGGATGCCACCTGGGGCCCATAACCGCCTCTCTCTCTCTACACTGCTTCTAAATCCTGAAGCTACAGTTCAAAGTCTTCCCAGTATGATGGGGACTGGAGAGATGGATCATCTGAGTCTTCTCTCCAGCATCAGTTCCCATACCTACATGGTGGCTCCCAGAGGTGTCAGGTTCAGTTCCCAACACTCACATGGCAACTCACAACCATCCAGTTCCAGGGTATTTGACACCCTCTTCTGACCTCCCCATGCCCTGGGCACCCATATAGTCAGACACACATGCAAGCAAAACACACATGAAATAAATCTTTTGTTAAAAAAGGTCCTCCGGGTATGAGAATCATGCTTTCTTTTCAAGGATTCGTGACAGTTAAAAGGAAAGCTGGTTAGTTCCTAGAGACAAAGAACATCAGGACTGAGAACACACCTTTGATATGCAAACCAAATAATCAGGGTCTAAGCTCCCTTTAAATCAGGAACCCACAGTCTGGACACTTACAACCTCCCTTAAACATCCTGAGTACCAACCAACAAGAGCAGCACAAGGCACATAAGAAGAAGAAGAATGCAAAGGGTGCAATCCTCAACTTGCTTATATGGCCTATCCTTTCTTGCCCCATTCTCTCCATGAAGACTACAATAAAGGCTTTGGTCCAGGCTTCTCCTGGCTCCTTCTGCCCCATGATTTACCTGGGTGCTTCCCAGGTAGACTAGCACGGCCCTGCCTCTCAGGAATTATTAGCTATCAACTCTACCTTTGCAATAGCAACCCTCTCCTATTCCACTGGACTCAACAGGCCTGCATAAGGCCTTCATTTAAAAGTCTCTTAGAGCAGACTGTAGTGAGTGAGTGACTCAGAGACACAAGCCTGTGACTCCGTACGCTAGAAAAGATACAGAAGAGAGGCCTACAGAAAGAGAACAAGGACGGGAAAAAGGAATGGGGAAAACAGAAGAGTAAAGAGAGAAGTAGAAGTGTTGAGAGTGCTATTTTCATGTATGAATGTGCCAAAATGAAGTACTTTATTCCATATAAAGGCATCAACAAAAAAATTCAAAAAGAGAAAAAACTTTAATGTTTATAATTTGTCTAGGATCACATAATAACCAGGCTTACATTTATAAAATGGATTTCCACTTAA